TAATGTCGACGTCGGATTAATCAACGGCCCCCCCCCCCCCTAGAAGGTCAACAAGGTCAACAAGGTCTGAGATTGGAGGTTTTGGAGATCACATCCCCCTAATAGTGGGGATGACCTGATGATGACAGGAGGAGGAGATGAGATGGGATGGAATGATGAGATCCATGAGAGCCCAAATACTAATTCCCTTTCATCATGAGATCCATGAGAGCTTATTGGCACAAATTTGATTTCTGAGATGATGAAAGGGAATTTGATTTGGAAGAATTGGAATGAAAGGGAATTAGTATTTGGAAGAATTGAGATGAAAGGGAATTAGTAATTGGAAGAATTGGAATGAAAGGGAATTAGTATTTGGAAGAATTGGAATGAAAGGGAATTAGTATTTGGAAGGGTTGGGATGAAAGGGAATTAGTATTTGGAAGAATTGGAATGAAAGGGAATTAGTATTTGGAAGAGCTGGGGTGGAATGATGAGATCCATGAGAGCCCAAATACTAATTCCCTTTCATCATGAGGTCCATGAGAGCTCATCATGGATGGGGTTGACTAATAGGGGGGGGTACCCCACTATTAGAGGGGGGTAGGGGGTGTATGGGGGGTACCCTTTCTGAGCTTCTCAAATTGCAGATTTTGATAGAGTTTTAATAAGGGAAAATTAAAGAATTTTCCTAGAGAGTTTTTGGAAATTCTAGGAAAGCTGTTGCTTTGGGAGAGCATTGGTAATCAATCAGAAGATCAGTTTCACCATGGTAAGACAAGAAAATATTGAAAAGGCAAAAAGAACAAAACTAATTAAACACCCATGTATATTTGAATAATTGTATTTTTCCTGGGGGGACAGGGGGTAGACTAATAGGGGGGGGTTTCAGCCAAACAAATTTTTTATTAGAGGGTGGTGACTGTGGAAATTCATAGTTCAAATTAGTTTATTATAGGGGCCTGAACGCTGGGTAGACTAATAGGGGGGGTTCCCTAATCCTAGGTTGACATTATTCTTTTTCAGACGCTTCTCGCCTCCTGTTCGCGTTTCTCTTATTTTGGGTTCAATTCCCTTAGACTTAGTTCTTATGGTTCCCAGCTGGTGTTTCAGATATCTTGTTCGCCAACCGTTGACACTGCAGGAGAAGTGGCGGATGGCCTTGCAGTTGCTGGAAGTGGATGGAGGACCGGTTGAACTGGTTGGTGAAGGTGGTGTCACTTGTGGGAACACATGGTGATTCCTGAGCTAAGAAATGGAAGCTCTCACACTTACGTTATGTTCACATATATATATATAATTCGCATATATCATGCGAATTTGATCGAACATGCGAATCCTGCAAATCACGAGCACTACAAGAAGATCAACACAAATCCCCTAGCATCAGAATCCATCACCATCCTGATCAGCACTACCAACATCATTACCTCCCAACCGACTGGGCTTCAATGTAATCTTCTCCCATTTGGTGTGGTTAGCTTCTGTACAGGGTCCTTGACCCAGACGCAGGTGATGTCGTTGTCAACACGGTGGTGTCAGCCTGCGAGCAGGTCACTGGGAGGATGAGAGGGTCCAACACCGTCGCGGTCGGGACTGCGCCGGATGGTTTTCAGGTGATGGATTCCGGTCCAATGAGAGTGCAAGGACTGGACACCGGTGGCTGAAAGCAGGCTGAATCGGTTTGCTTTAGCGAGGCCGTCCTTCTTGGCTGATGTGGCTCCTATGAATGTCAGCTTGGTTGATGGGGCTTGAGCATCAGGTTTGGGCTGGGATGGGCGACCCGTCACAATGATCCTGCAAGCCCCAAACGACTCCGAGCGGCTCCCATGGACGGAGGCGAAGAGCTGGCGGAGGAGCCTGCAAGTGCTGCTGGGTGGAGCTGTCCGAAGGCAGATCTGTTCGGGCGGAGCACCCCAAGGAGCACGTGAGCCAAGGCTGTAAGGTGTAAGATGTTTAAGACAGAAGTGAATACGTAAGATCCACTGCTTTTTACTTATTTGTTTTTTTTTCATTGCGCTTTTGCCAGGGTCCTTTCTAAGATCCCTGTATTTTGAGGCACACCTTTACGGCCTGCCAGGGATTTGCAGATCGGCTGTGAGGACCTCCGCAGAGAAGACACCTTGCCATCACGCGGCAAGCGTTTTCTTATTGAGGATGAATGTTCTGGACCTTTGTGGGTAGCGTGGAATGTCTGTTGAGTTCGCAAGTCGTGGGTTTGCAGTCAATGCAGCTGGTTGCAGTTTAGATATGTAACATTTCATGTGTTGAATTGTGTTGAGACTGGTAAATCCAGCTAAACCGGCTCCTCCTTCACCCCGCCACCCCGCAGTGGAAATTCGCGGGTGTGTCTCTGGAAGCCAGGCTCTCTGCAAGTGTGTTGCGCCACTCAGCGGCTGTTGCGGCCATCGACTGGGCCATGGGCTTGCAGCTGTGGGAGGAGCGATGTCCCCGGAGCCTTCCACGTTTGGGTCCACAAGTGACCCTGCCGCAGGTGTCTCCTGACCTCATTCTGTGGCGAACATGTTGAGACCAAGTTGAATTTCTCCAAAGCAGTGTTGTTGGTTCAAGGTATCAGTGTGTTGTGATGCTGGCGGCCATTTTGGGCCAATGGCTCCTAAGAAATATTTGAAGAGGAAGAAGAAGAAGTCCGAGAGGGTGGACCCAGACTCATTGACAGCAGTGACAGGGGCATGGAGTCTCAGGTCAGAGTCCAAGAGTGCAATTGGTAGTGACACTGGCAACGATCACTTGACGCCTGTGGCTTTGGGCACGCCGGAAGCCTCAGACGGCTCCGATGACATCGGAAAGGACAAGGACCAGGAGAACTGCAACGACGAGACAGGGGACGTAGAAGAGTTCAAAGACTATGCCTTTCTTGCGGACTTGGCCATTGCTTATCATGTGATATACGTGATGTGCTCAAGAGACGCTCGTATCATGTTTCAGGACCCTGCACAGATAGCGCGTCGTGTTTCCTTGAATCGTGAAGATATAAAAAAAAGGGAACGGATGAGAGCAAAGCTAGAAGAGCAAGCAAGAACAGCTTTGCAAGAAGCACCATACAAGTACCATAATGCGATGAAATGGCTAGCCACAAACTACACAGAGGGTTTCTCCAAAAGAGAGGAGAAGGTCCGAAGTGCTTGCCTCAACATAGCAGAGCAGGAAGAAGCTCCTTACCTTCCGAGAAAGAGCCGGGCACACACATCATTGCTCGAGGAGGATCAGGATGCTTGTTCTCTATTGAAGAGTTGGCTTGGGCATACCTTCGATTATTATTGGAAAGTTGGAAGGCTGTTGTGCAGCTTGCAAGTGTTGTGGCCATGCCTTCTTGTGACAGGCTGCTGCGTTGTGGCAATTCATGTTGTCGACTCTGAAGGCTTGAGTGACGAAGAGTATGACATTAGTCAGCGGAGTCAAGGCGAATGGTCTGCGGTGCTCTCAAAGCCCTCAATTGACCTTGGCAGTGAGACCCATGAGATGCTTGCCCTGGTGCTTGGGTTCCTTCTGGCTTTCCAGGCTCAGGAGGCAGCTGACCGATATGTCACTGCAGATGCAACTTTTCAGAAAATGTGTGCAAGCCTGCAAGAAGCCGCCCTGCATTCTTTCAGTAACCTCAAGAACACTAAGGTTACACGAGCTGCAAAAGTGCATTGGGAGCTAGCAAGATCTTTGCACTTGCTGTTGCTTGTGGCAAGCCGAGATTTGCAGACTGGGTCCTTGAAAGGGCGCCGCCTTACTAGCAAAGAAACCGACAAGACGCTTGGACTATTGGATGGTTTTGTCCCCGAACAAGCCAGTGCAATTGCCAGCACCACTGGGATGGCGCGGGTTTACATGTCTTTTGAGTGGGTCAGGATGATTCTTGATTGTGCTGCAGACAAGAAGTGGATGGATCCTGACAGTGCAGCGAACAAAGCCCTGGAATGCCTTGACAATTTTCTTGAGCAATGGAAAGAGGCACACATCCTTGCCCATGCAGGTGAGCCCGCTCTATTCCATGGGCTCATGTCCTTGTTTCTTTACATTTTTTGCTGCACACTCCCATTTCCACTGGCAGCTTCGCTGGGTGTTTGGTGCTTTCCTGCGGCCATCACGCTGGCGGTGGCCTTTTTCTCATTGAAGGTGGCAAGTGACAAAATGATGGAGCCTTTTGGTTTTGATGATGGAACAGACGTAGACGTTGAGAAGTACTGCAAAGAGTTTTGGGGCATCATGCAAGAGATGGTTGTGTGTGTTGGTTGGACACCCCAACGACAGAAACCCATTCCATGGGGCTGTAACAAGATCAAGAGAGAAGTTGACCCAGGCGAGAAAATGAATGGCCCGCCAGGGGAGCATGAGCTGAGTTGCATCATAGCAGAGTCACTTGGAGAGAAGTTTGCTATTAAAGAGGAGCAGGTGCAGGAAGCATGTCGCAGAATGAGCGCCCGGCAGTCTATGTAAAGAAAAGGGCTCAATAGTGGGGCCCAGAGAATGTTTCAAGACTCCAGCCCGACGCGGCTTGAACGTCTTAGTTCTTGGAAAAGAATACTGTATATCTTACTGACTACTCAGGTTTAACATCACATGTTTGAATAAGGGAGTCGAGTGGCATCGTCCACACCTATGAATCATGCCATGCAGCAAGCTCGCGATCGAAGATCTTCGAGCATCCCCCCGAAGCAGCGTGCTTCTTTTTGGCAGCAGGCGGCCAGGTGGGCTACCAGGAAACCTGAGGCCCACAAAGCCGTCTTGGCGAAGGGGAAGCCGCAAGAGAGGAGAAGCGGCTCAGGCATTGCCTTGTACGAAGACTCCACGTGTTTGTACTAGTGGGCACCTTGAAGGTGTAGCGTCGAGGTAACGCCTTATGGCGTTCTGAGAGGGCCGGCTTCTGGGCTTTTTGGGCGAATTACTGTACTCATATCAAACTGTATATAATGTGTTTTTGAGGACGCGTGCTTGTCCAAATCGTTTTTTCCTTGCCACTCTCGGATGACCACATTCTGATGCAGGTTGGCATTCATTGAAGGTTGACACCCCTTAGACTAGAGCCCAGCCCTGCATTTGGCACTTCACTCCCCCACAGGAGATGCGGAAGCTGTTGCTGTGGCCCAATGACAGGAACTCAGCTAGTTGGGGCTTCAGACATTGGTGACGCTGTTGAGGGAACTAGTGGCAACAAAACGATTGCAGCATTTGTTGGTTTTGACAGATGAGGATGAGGACCCCTGAAAAAGTGCGTTGACTTGTTCAGGACAGAGGAATGTTCCTAGATCTCTCACGTTGGAGTACCAGCTCCACGAGATTCTCCGAGTACTTACTACTTACCTGTCACATCTGGATGTTCCAATTGTCCGCTTGACCGGTCTTTGAGATTCGGATCAAACTCCTTTGCCACAAAATGTGACAATCAAGTTTATGCTTTATGGTGTTTAGGAAACCCAATAGCAGGAATGTGGGATATCTCATGTCTTTTGGATCTTCCTATATATATATATATTTCGTTGTTTTTCTTAGCTTTTCCTGAGGAGATCACCTGCAGCTCTGCCTTGACCGCCTGTGGGAGAAGCGTCACCTGGCGAGCGGCGGCCTCGCTGCTGGTGGGCGCGGAAGAGACGACGGCGGGAGACGGGATGACCCGCCTGGTTGGGGGATCGTGGGAGTGGAGTTGAGTTGGGGCAGGGTCTCTTTGCATTTTTCAAAGAAATCATGGGTCCACCAGTTGAATCCGAAGTGGGTTCCTATTTTCCATTGATGCAGCACAGCTGATACTGAGGGGAAAGCGGTACATATCCCACTGTCTCCTCCTGCTTGTCCAGAGTTCCGGTTTCTTTGCAACTCTGGATGATACTATGGAGAGTGGATCAAACCTGTACTGTAGTGTGTAACTGTAGTGTTTATTTAGGTTTTGCTTTTGACCCAATAGTCGAAGGTGCTGACGAATCACAAGCGTTTCCACCCACTTCGAATTTGCACAGGTTCGACCAAATGCCATTTGCAGACGCATGGCCACCGTTGCCTTTGAGCAGGCTGGGGCGTTCTTTGCGGAAGACAGCTTGATTCTTTCAAAGCTTCCGGTGGCTGCCAGGCTTCTCAGTGGGCCGATGCTTGTGTTCTGGGATCGGAGGCGGCCAGTCGTCCAGTGGTGCCTTGGCGGCTTCAGACGACTGCCAGTACTGTTAGTTTTGTTTGTAGTCAATAACTAACTGAGTCTGGAGTCCAGAGTTTCAATCAGCATTCCTCTTCACGACGGGTTTCAGGCCTTAATCAGTCTTTGAGGATTATCCCGAATTTTCGCCGAGCGCGTCTCCTCCCCTACGGCCCTACGGCTGCTGTTTCTCACCATCCACTTGTCGTTGCGGCGCTTTGGTCGACGCCCCGTAACCCGAGGCCATCGTGGCACTGGGCTCCTCCTCGCGCTGGCGCCACGCCTTGCAGTTCCGAAGTGCCTCCTCTCGAGGCGCATCCGCTGGGGCTGTAGGGGCTGAGCTAAGCGTCCACAGGGCTTGTTCTATAGGAGTATGAACTGAGGAATTTCTGGGAGCAGTAGTGTGTAAACAGCACTGGCTCACCATCACTAACCTTATAGCAGGTCTTTGGGAGTGATTCGGAGGCATGAGAGCCTCATAGAGCCTCCTCCGGCCTGGGGGGGCTCGAAGGGTCATGGTCTTTTGGAGGGACCCAGTTGGGGGAGACACACCTGTCCCAGGCATTGGTCCCAGCGAAGAGGCTGCGGCGCTCCTCGGCGGTTTGGCCACGGCCGGAGCTTGGGAGATGGCGCTCCAGGATGCCTGGTGGAAGGATGTGTCGCCACCAGGTGCGCGTCCAGGATCCACGGTGGGATGTCAGGTGAGTGAGGTCGTTCTGCAGGGAATGAGTCAAGTAATGTAGAGAACAAAGTGTCAGGTGACCAGGTGTGATCTTTTTTAGATTCTAGTGTGGATTATATATATATAGTAATTTGTTGATGCTTTTGTTTTGCAAGTTTGTGTGGTAAACAAGTAAACAACTGTGTAGGATGTGGCTCGGTCGCGAGGGTCTTGTGGCTCTGGGCGTCAAAGCTTTTGCGAGAATAGTAAATCCGAACACGCCTTTGTTGAGTGAACACCAGTCCATTTCCCGACCGCATGTCAAGATATCGCTGCATTGATCTGTTACTTGTAGTTGTGACTTCAGATGGTGCGGAGGTACTCGTACCACCCAGGATGTCAAGAAGACATCCCTCTACATCCTGTACCCTGTATGGTGTAGGGGAAGCTGGGATGATGATTTTGTTACGTTCGTAGCTTCTTGTTACTAGCGATGGCCTCCACCGAGCATAGCATCCTTGCTACATGTACTTCTCCAGCTCCGCGACCGTTCCGCCAGCTTTGCACTCGATTCTGCGGGCCATCGCTAAGGCTCGAACGGGGACCTCGCCGAGGGAGTCGATGGATGTCGAGGTCGTTGAATGGACCAACTTGGAAAGAATCAACGTCAAGAGACATCCCTTTTGAACCGATCCTTTTGATTCTTTCCAAGTTGAAGGTCAAAACGGTCAAAATAAATCCTTCTTTTTGTTCGAAGGTTTCAACTTCCATACAAATCCTTTTGCGTCCGAGTTGCATTTTTTGGGGCGGTAGGCGGTAGAGCCCGGTAGAGCAGTCATGTACGCTTCAATGACTTGAGTGAAACCAGCAGCCAGCCATTTTTTTTGTGAGCAGCTTAGAACTGATTCACTTAGTATCACTTGGTTATCCTCAAGACTTTGTAGAGCCTTGGGTGTCAGCACTCCAGCATGAATAACCGAAAAGATGTAGTTCTTCAAAACATGGATGCCATGAGCTTCCCTTTCAATCGCACAGATTTACCCAAATTCAAGCTATATCGAATGTTTTAACGCCCGTCTTTTCATCGGTTCTCCAGGTGCCAAACAGCTATGTTGCATTGCAAGGCACTTAGCGCTGAGGGCTAACACGGACCCTGAAAACCACTGGTTTGTAGAGGCTCCTATTCCACTTCACCAGGCTCGACGTTGGCCACTGGCCTTCCGGCTGCTGCGCCACCTGCAACTGCTGCGCACACGTCCCAGCGGCCCGAGGGCCCAGGAGATCCCGTTCAGTCTGTGGGAAGTGGAAGGACCTATTGGACCAAAGCGGGCCAAACGGGCCTGGTGGCTGGCAGTAGTTGAAGGTGGATGATCATCAGGCTTGTACTTGTAGTACACAGTCTTTGTAAATCAGGGTATACAGTATACATACAGGATATCATCCTTGTGTGTCATGTTAATGTTTCACTGGGATTTGTGGGATTCTGCAGTTTTCGCAATTCTATATGGGTAGACGGTGCATAGGGACACCAAGTCATACACATGTTCCAACACATGGAAGAAAAAGAACCACTGAGAACATCAAACAAACAAATTGCACGACCTGATGCCCCCTGCAAACGCCATAGTTTGGCCGAGGTGGCGTTGCATACAGCATTGTACTGGATTCTTGCGACACAGGAGGGGCCTCGGCGAACAATTGGGACCGCAATGACGATGTGTATTTCTCTATGTTGTAGCGTATGGGTAGGAGGTTAGTTGGCCGAATTGATAAAGGGAAGACTTGTATATTGTGCTGTTGGAGACGGTCAAAGTGCAAGAGACATATCGCGTTTGGTCTTTATGATTCCTTCCTCTTTTCATCCCTTCTCGGCCGAAGTTGAGACTTGATCAAACCCTAATAGGCCAAGTACCTTGCTGTATTCCCCTGGCTCGCACCATGAGTCCTAAAATGATTCGACGGACTCCGCTTAAGTCAGCACAGGCGCAGCTTAGTTCGCCAAATATATCTCCATCAAACCATCAAACTGTTGTGGACTGGCAAAACATGAACCTCCCTATCCCCTACACCATCAACATGGAGCCATGCATCAGCGCCATTGCATCATTTGTCACCTTCTCTCAGCATTTGTCCCCATTGTATCTTTTCTTTTGGGATTTACTCAGCATGCATAGGTCCTCCAAACGGAGACAAACCCAACAGACCCACTTTTTTCACCGCGCAGGGCCTCACTACTTGGGCAACAAGTGCCTTGACCGCTTAAACCCAACCTTCAGGGCCTCCCTACTTGGTTAGATGAAAACATCTTAGAGCCCTACCCATGCAAGTGCCCAATTGGTCATTTTGATGAAGAAAGCCATCTCGCCGCCTGCACAGCTGGCGCTTGGAACACTGCTTTGCACCAGCTGGATGCGCCAGTTGTGCTGGCTGCTATGCCTGCGCCGGTCGGCAGCTGCCCAGGGGCAGGTGAGGCGGAGCAGCCTGGGGAGCGGAAGAGTTGGGAAGGGTGTTGGTCTTGGTCAACCCACTTAACTATTGATTCTCTTTGACCAACCGTCCTTTTGTTTGACCCATGTGGTCGTTTTGGCTCTATTGGTGTCTGATCAATAGATCATTGTGACTTGCAGAGAGTTTGGTTGGTCGGACAGAAGAACCCGCTGACTGACCTGGATAGTTTTTCCTTTAGTGACATGGGCCATAGGGGTTTGTCTTGGAGATTTCTGTATGGATCAAATACCTGCCGTGTTCCATGTTTGTTTGATGGGGGCATCATGCCAGGGAATAGAAGCTGTTCATCATGAGTCACCCCTATGGCCTTGGGGTGCCCTGAACGATTCAGCTTGCTCTCTCGAGTCAATTTAGTCAATCGACGCATGGACTCCCCACCCTCCTCAAAAGCAGCTGGAGCCTCCTGCAGCCTGGAGGTGCGGCAGTGTCGGCCTGCCAAAGGTTGGGCCCGCGGTGTCGATTCGGTTGGCTTCGTTTCGTGGGTAGGGGGGTTTTCTGGCTGCTGGGCGATGGTGCCACGAGGGGATGGCTGGGTGAGCGACAGGGAAGACGGGGAGGTCGAGGAGGGAGGAAGGTGCGACAGCGACTCTTGAGATGGCCTCCACCCTAGTGTGACTCTTGCGACCTGTATCATTCAAGTTAGGCATTGATTCTCAGTTGGGAGCGTTTCCTCTGCAGGCATGTGTTAGAGCATGTTAGTTACTCACCAGCCTGAGTGGGTGCAGGATTCTTTGTCCCTCGTCGATATGGGTTCTTTGTGTGTCTCAAGTGATTGCGATAGATTCCAAGAAAAACACTGGTTTGTATGTATTGTCACTTATGACCCTACAATAGACAAATACCAGAATATATTGGAGAATGTATTGCAACCACTTCTACCTATTTGGCAGGAACACACTCTCGAATCTTCGTTCTGCAGCTGCGAGCTCGAAACTGGAATCCCCATTCCATTCGAGCTCGATCCATCTCTTTCGTGCGGACACTCAGGGGGGCGAGCTTGACCGCCTGAGCGAGCCCCGAGACGGTCTGGTTCACTGCGAGGGTCATTGACATGACATGGAAGCACTGAGACGGTTTGCACCTAATATGGGGATGGGGATGGGTAAAAACCTGGAGCCATGGTTAACCATGTAACTTGAACTTCCAGAAGCTGAAGGGCTGTGGGGTGCGTGTTCAGACAGTCGCAAGAACCGCCGGTAGGTCAACCAAGGTTTCCTGGTGCCATGACCCACCGCCAAATGACTCAAATCTGTGATCTCCACAGCCCTTACAGTAGCCCCTGCGACCTCACATCTGTCGACCTCCTTTTTCCTGCGAGGTAATGCACCGAACCGTTTTCGTTTGCCTTCTGGCAGCAGCGTGCCTTGGAAAGCGCAGATCTGGTGACCTGAACCCTATGCAATGTTGCAAGAAGACACTCCATCCGACTCCATCCAAAATGGTTGCAAATAGCAACTTCCTCCTCTTCAGGCTGAGGCTGAGCATCAACCAATACTGTGTGTGGATATCATCTCTGAGACATGCAAAGAACCGAAAGTACTTTGAGAAATTGAAATCATTCCACTTTTATTTTGGGTGCGTGGGGGCCTGGCACCGCATGAAATGCTCCTCATATGCTTTTTGTTTCCCCGAGGTATTCCGAAGAATGCCATTCCGTGTCCCGGCGCCAAAAAAGCTTGCGCCGGGTTCGAATGGGGTCGACCGGGGTCGACGGTTTTGACGGACTGTCGTGTTGGCTGTAGCCATTTGTGGATGGTTTGGTCGCTGGAGACTCTTGGAGCCTCTTCAAGGAGCGATGGGTAAGCGATGGGTCCCCTTTCTTTGGGCACTTGATTCGGCTACGGTAACTTTGCGTTTGGAAGACACCCGTACTATTGGTATCTACTGGAGTTGAGGTTTGCTGCGGGGTTCTTTTTCTTGTGCGGTTGAAATGTGTACGAGTCAAAGAAGCCAAATCTACCACTGTCTTGGAGATACTTTGCTTGTTTCTTTCTTTGTGGCAAATTAAAGTGCTTTCGGGAACTAAGGCACCAAGAAGGGGGTCGGGTCAAACGGTCTAACCATTGTTCTGCGATTCTGCCTTGGGTAATTCTTTTTGGAATCACGTCCGACCCAGGATGAGAGCGATCTCATCCAGAAACAAGTCCGCACGAAGGTCTCTTGGTACGCTGAGTGGGGGGTCTGAGGCTGGAAAAAAGTTGCTTTTTCAATCAAATCATGGGTGGGAGTTGGGGAGAACCTTCTCTGCTGAACACATCCCAACATGTTTAGAGTTGTTGGTTGCTATGTGCGGACCTGGGTTGGTGGATGAGATTCGGAGCGTTGATATCTTCTTTTATCAGCTTGGACGCAAACAGCCTGCGCAAACAACTTCTGTGCTAATTATTGTGGGGCAAATCAACTGGGTTCCTCAGGTCGTCGGCTCCAAAATGAACCTCTTCCACAGGAACATCCTGTAAACGTCTTCCAAATCCACCGATTTTTCAGCTGTTATTTTTAGAAATCACTCCTTTCAAAGCGCTGACGTTTTGAGGACGGATTCTCTTTCAAGACTCACCAGACCAACATCAAGGCTAAGGTCTTTGAGACGTATATAGCGGCACGTCAGGTACGTCAGGTGCCCGAGTCCAGGTCTTGCACATTGTCCCGATTTCGGCCATGTAAGCTGAACTTCACCTGCGTGTTGATCCATACATTGAATACCATTTTAGACTATATAACTATATAAGTAGGTCAGGCCCCTACTTTTTGAGCATCAACATGTATCTCATTCCAAAAGTCCTTGCGAGGGACTTCTCTCGATGGTGTGCCAAGCTGAGGCCCTCGACTGGAGATGGGACCTGCCAAAGGCGCGCGAGGTGCCATTAGACCTACTGCAAGCGGGCAGAAGAAGCTTGGACCAAATCGGAGAGACACGGTTTATGCATGTTTATGCATCAATTGCTTTCTTTCCTTAGCAACACAGCTTGAACCCCTTGTTTGGCCGTTCCGAATACCTTCACCAGCTGTGGGAAAGAAGGCCAGCGAGCATGTTATGGACATGACATTTAGACATGGCTGCAGGCTGCAGGTTAAAAGCTGGACTGCCCCGAACCATGGTCGGTCAAACGCCGGTCGTCCACCAATGGCTACGAACGACTCGGTCGTTTCGCTCGGTCTTGGTCTCCTGGCTTTGACCTACCGCGGGGCAGGTAAGTTGCATTGGATCAGGTATGATGGTGGTCATAGTTTGGACCAAGAGCATGGCCTCAAACCATCTCAAGCCCATTGGTTTTCAGAGATAGGATGGGATGTCCACCTGTCCCTACTCCATTGGTCTTTGTGTCTGAAGCTCCAAACTTCGCACACTGAGGTGGTGAGTCCCTAACAACAACCCCAGCACCGGGCCCGAACCCTGCGGGTCCTCCGGCTTTGTGCTGGGAGCTCAGACTGGAGTGTAGTGCTTGGACTGAGACTGAGTGTGCTTGGGTTGAATTGGACCTGATGAAACCCACATTGGAGTGTGCTTGGTGTCCTGCAACATCACTTGGCTTCTTTTATTCTCTTCATGCTTGTAGCGGCTTGTGGCTGTGTCCTGTGCTCACAACAGCCTCCTTAGGCCACGGTCACGACTGCGACTACTGGGCGGTCAGCGGCTACAGCTGCGAGATGTTGCATGACCCGTCGCAGTCTTTGCCGGTATGTTGAACATTTGGCATGTGTTGGGTTTACCCACACCTGGCGACATCAATCCTCATTGGCCCCGGACAATTCAATCCCCTGTTGCCGCAAGTGAATGACTTTCACAGCTTAAAAGGGCTCAGCATGTCCTAAGACCCCAAAAGGCTGGAGACTTTGGAAGAACTCGAAGGGGTTTCACAAGCAGGAATTTGTTGACTGAACTTGTTGATGGTTCGATCGCCCACCCTGCTCGACCGATCTCTCCGTTTGGTCTGCCCAGCACGCGACCAGGACTACTACCAGTGTGACTGCTCTGGGAGCAAGTGCACCCTGGTTCCTTGCTTGCAGCTGAGGATGACTTGGCGCAGGCTAGTTCCATTCAAACCCCCGAACTCTTGGCTCATATCATCTCATATCGCAATTCTTCGTTGGACACATATCCTCTTTAACCCGCCAGAAGGTCACCAATGATTATGAAACCAAGGGTTGGAAGGTCATACACCGCTTGAGGCTTGGGAGGAACGAAGTTAAGAGAATCCATCCAAACCCATGGCTTCAGTGACCTTCCTTTACCAACTCTCACTTGCCGTGGTATCCTGTGCGGTCGCAACCCTCTTTTGTGACAAGGATCTGCCGACCTGCCAGAAGACTTGCAATGGCCATAGCTGCGATTATTGGGCCGGCCTCTACAACATGCAGTGACCTGGCTGCAGGTTTGTCAAACTCAGTAGATCCACTTGGGCCCCGTCGACTGGCAGCCTCAAGCCTGAGGGGTTCCAAAGACTCCAAGAGATAGACCTCCCAAGCCTGGCAGGGTTTTCTGCGGGATTTTGCAGGAAGCAGCTCACAAGAGGCGTTCGGTGTCCGTTTCTTGTAACTCAAGAGAGGGTCCTTCCGCAGCTGGCTGGGCCTGGCTCTCATGTAAAGTCAGAATCTGGATGTGCCAGGCCGCCGGACGCTGCGATGTCATCAAAGACTTTCTTGTTTGGCATGGCATATCGGTGTCCTTTTCAGGTCACGCCGGTCACACGGCTGGTCGGACTTCTGGGTGGTCGGTCCAGGTGCCATGCTGAACCGCTGGACCAGTGCGACTGCAGCGGATGCCTGTGCATGAATGATGATGCTTGACATGACTTAGGTGGGTCATGGCAAACAAGCCTGAGAATGGCAGCCAAGGGTTCATGATTTTCATGGGATCGGTTGACTTTTTGTTCACTGTGCTGGGTCAACCAGGTGTGTTCAGGTCGTCGTCTTGCAGTGTCGCATCGGGTCATGAGACCCCAGTGGGCGAGAAAGGCCAGCGGAAGAGACCCATGTGCTACCACGGTGGGAGCATTTAGAGATTTCTGAAAGAAGTCGCATGGAATTGGAGTTTCCCTCTTAGGAACCCAGTGATTTTCCAGTCCCTGACAGTCACGCTGCACTCAGAAACCAGTGGTTTGTTGAGAAGTCTTCAAGGGGTCCAAGAAGGCTCTCATGCCGCCATGCCCATGTTTGGCGGGGTGCAACTCGGCGTCCCATAGCCAGTGCAACAGACTGGGACACGGATCATGCAGATCTGGCGGGTAAGAAATTTGAAGCACCACCTGCAAACCAGCAGTGCAGTTGTAGTGCTCTCGAGTCTGAGCTTCTGGAGCTTTCTTGGGCTCTACTCTCCTACAAACTTTCACGTGTTCCTTTGCTCCAGCAGCGTTCCATATACTTCATCCTTTGGATCAGCCAGGCAGGTCAGGACATACTCAATCAACCTTTTGAAGGGCTAGATCATTTGACGCCTGTCC